AATCAAAGACTACCTTTTTTGTAGTCTTTGGGGGGGATATTAAAATTCCTCCCTCAGTTCTTGAGCTACAGACATTGCTAGACAAAATGTGGCAAATCACCTCTGCCACATGCTCTGCCATGTGCCCCCTTCACCCCGGCCCTCCAGCCACAGCCAGTTCACAGCTGGCATTCAGACTTAGCTGGCCCTCTTATGGTGCTCCTCCACTGAACCCGTCCATCTCTGTCCCCCCATTGCGGGTGATTCACAGAGAGAGAACTGTAGTTGGGTGAATCGCCCCAAGGAACAAGCAGACATGCCTCCCAGCAGCCAATCTGGGCTTCAAGGATGGATATGTTTGTTTCACATTCTATCTTGTTCAGCCCTTCTGTTTTAGATCTTTGGGGTATAAGTGGCATGCATTACTGCAGTTGTATGAATATAATGAAGAGGCTAGCTCTGTTATGCAAATAAGGAGAACAATTTGTGATCTTACCTCAGTCATACTCTTTCTAGTATAATACAGGATTATTGCCACAAAAACCTGAAACTCTTCTTTAAAAATAAATAAATCAGATTAACTTACATAAACATGATGCATGAGGTTTAAGCAGGTCATTTGCTAGCCAGACCTGTTCTCTTTCCACCTTAAATAAACGTTTGCTTCCTTGTTGGATTAAGCTTTTTAGTTTTCATTAAGCATGCACAATTATATTTATTGGCAGCTAAAACTGTACATAGATTTAATTACTTGAAATGTCCGTGATACAAGATTTTGTTTTTGCATTAATGACATAAATAGTATGTTTTCACTGTGATTGTCATCCATCTCATAAGTATAAAAGTGAATCCTTAAATTTGATGCATGAGTTTTTTTCTTTTCTGTGTGAACAATATATATTTTTGTAATACGTTTCTGAAAAGAAGTAAGAATGTATTTTGATAGTGCATGGGGTCTGATCTTTATTTTAATTGATGGATCTTTTCAAAGTAAGACAACTGGAAATAATAGCAAGGATTGAAATCAATCAGGTGCCCGTTGTGCGTTGAATTTAGAAATTATTGGGTAAAAATATTATTCATTATACTTTGATCAATCAAGTTAATACTTTAGCAGTCCTTCTCACATCTTGAATTTGCAGAATAAAATGCTACTGCTTTGCAGAGGTTCAATATTGGGCTGGGAATGGCTTTTTACAAATCAGTTCAAAAGGTCTTTTCTTCCATCCTCTTTTTCCTCTAAAAGGGACTATTGGAGAAGACCTTCAAATTGTATGTAAGAAAGTTCTGAATATGACAATATGATTGATTTCATGATAGGCAACAATATTACTTTTAGTTTGCTGTATGTTGTGCTATTCTACCTAGAGGGATATGCTAAAATGATTTTTTGGGGTTTGTTTACTTGGAGTGAAGAATAGTTTCATACTGGGTATTTCTACTGATCTTGGACTTACTTTAGGAAACACTGTTCTCTTCTTTTAGTAATAGGTAGCTGAGATTGGATGATTTTGAAAAAGGTTAAGCAGCGTTAGGATGGGAGACCTCTAGGAAATACAAGTACTTTTGGCTGAATGGGAAACTACTTTCCCCCTTGCAGGTGGCACTGAATAACAACAACCAAAACTATAGCAACAAGAAACTGCCTCCACAAGGACACGTCCATATGGTTAATAGAGGTTTCCCTGTAATTTTCAAGTCAGAATTAATGACGTGACCATTTTCTTTAATAATGTATATTTTGCTTAAGACATCTCTTTTTTTGAAAAGAAACCACCCTTATTATAAATTTCATACTTAATTTGGTTCAGCTCTTGATTATCTTTTTTTATTTGCCTCTTAAAAAGGAATGTAAAAATACCTTGCCAACAAAGGAACTATGGAAAACCTGAGAGCATAGTTGCTGAAATTCTTTCTTTATCTATCTATCTATCTATCTATCTATCTATCTATCTATCTATCTATCTATCTATCTATCTATCTATCTATC